ATTCACTATTTTGTAGCCCCTTTGTCTTATAGCACTTCTAGGAGATGTTATTTACCTACTGATTGCAACTATGTGAATCATTCCTAATGCAGTAGTAAGTCGCATGCCTTTGCGAGACGAAAGCTTATTAATGTGTGAAAACAAACAGGGCCGTCAACGCCTATGGCACAAGGATGAGGTCAGAACGGCGTACACTGAAAATCTCATAAATTTGAGTAATTGTCGTTGTTATCGCCCTCATGAGCTAATGCCTACAACTGGTCTACTTTATTGCTCGTATTGGATGCTAAATTGCCTCCTGTCCTTCTCTCGCCCGTTTGCTCTCCCAAAATGCCTTAAATTTCTGACGTGCAGGCTCAGTTATGAGAACCGGGGCTTCTCTTGTTTGTATCGCTTACAGCAAACGCGCCATTATGTTGTTAAAAACCATTTTTCGTATAAAGTGCAAAAAGGAGGTATCTTTAAGATGTAGCCACCAAATGTACATTGCATAAAACCATGCCAATTACGCGGTCGCTGGTGTGTCGGGCGACTCAGTCCTTCGTAGCTTCGCTTCCGACGCCTGTCTTCGTGGCTGTTGCTGATGCTGCCTCGAAGTGGGCGCCACTGTTGCATGACGCTTCTTGGCAACACCATTGCAACTAGCGTTTGCTCCAGCACTGCCTAGAATAACCGCGATCTCCGATTCTACAAAGCTCCATGGCACACTGGGGGTCTCCGGTAATGCGCACATCTCTCCACTTGGACAATGGAAGAGTCTGCGTTTTTCTCTCGTTTTCTCCTCTCCCTCTTCCTTTTTACTGTTCCCCTTCTCTGCATCCAGCATAGCGGCCTTGGCGCAGCCGAAGCAAAACCGGTGCTGTGACCGCACTGGACATTGAACGAAATGGCTCCCCTCCAATGCGGCACCGCAAGTCAAGCACTGAGCTTGAATCCACTCATCTTGGAGGTATGATACTGCTTCTTCCAGCTTGCACCAACATCCTTGTTGAGCCTCAATCTCCATTTCCGCTTCTGTTGTATCCATCCTCTCCAGCAACTTGGACACACCTCTTACCACCTCTCCTGAAGCCGCAGGATATTCGAAGAAGAGCCGATCTCGAACGGAACAGGAAGTGTCGTGGGAAAGACCCACACATAATGCTGATCTTAGTGACGACTGACCTATTGATCGAACTGGAGCAGGAAAGTTGAACTCTCGACGATGATTGCGTTGCTGCTGTTGTCTTTGCTGATAATTATTAGTAATCTGATGTTGTTGTAGAAATCTCAGGGCTTCCATATAGTGAGCAATAATAGTTGAATGATGGTTAGACAAAAACGGTTGAATCTTCATACCCTTTGACCTCTCTTTGCTCTGTAAAATGGTATGTTTTTGTGCTCCAACCCATTGGATGACTTGTTCTATTCGATCAGCACCCTCGTAGTTGACACAGCCTCGACAGACAGGGACGGAGAAATCGAAGACTAGGGCCCAGGGACTTCGTGGTAGTTCACAA